AAATGGTACAATTTTTTTTTAAAAAAAATTATGGTACAATCTTAACACTGGTTGAGTTTTTGGCACTGGCTGAATTCTACTTGTTTGGGTCTTTTGGCACGAGTTGAGTTTTATTTCTGGCTCCGCCATTGATGATATTGAAGATGAATATATAAGATAGACAAGAAAAAAATGTAGTTAAAATATTCTATCTCTTTATGAGATATGATATTATGCCTATTTTATCAATTCATCTCCAACGCTATTGGATCAATCTCAAGAGAGAAATAAATGGTAAAGTTAGTTGGGATTAAATTCTCATTTAATGTTATTTAAGTAAGTAAAATAACATATCCTTTATTTTATTATGTGAATATAATTGACAGGAAACTCTTAATTCCTATGCGGTACTCATTTTTTAATTTGTTTCTACATAATACAGTTTTCAAATCGATCTTCATAAAGTCATTTTCAATCCCTATACACAATAATATAGTCATGTAAGATAAGTAGATGATTGTTAAGATACACTCCATTTTAACTTTGTGTCATTATCTTTTCCTATAATTATAAAAGCTTGATGCTGTTTCATAACTAACGTGGCTCATGTTCAATGGTATAGTATAAAAAGATTATGACTAAATGGACATCAAGTTAGTCACCCAATTTATCGTGGGACATTAAGTTAGTCTCTAAATTATACTTGTATTATGAAAGACAAAATTAATATTCAATTTTTTAAAAGAACCAATTTAATGTTTCATATATTTTTTGAAAGGTGAATTTAAATATTTATCATGCACTAAAATATGTCACCGTGGTCGAACAAATAATATAATAAACTTTAGCATGCATATCTGTTTCGAGAAAATCAAGTGGGCACACCTATGGACCCAAAACACCAAATGAATTAATGTTTTAGTAACCGATCTTCAAATGAAGGGATAAGGTTATTCTTCCTATCATTTTTTTTGCCTATCTTTTCCTACCACCTTCCACATCGTTAGATCAGAATCTTAAGAAGAGGAAAAAGATAAATGTTAGTTAAGATTTTAATCTAACAATGTTGGAGGGTGGTAAGCAAAAAAAAATGACAAGTAGAATAATCTATCCCAAAAAAGAATCATGAAACATACAAGGAAATATTTTATCTCACTTAAATTTTGCAAATACCTCCCTTTTGAATGTTTGGTTCCACAAGCTGTTATTGTCTGAACCCTACATTGTTTATTGAGAATTGCTACTAGACGTATAATAACTTTATGTGCAATTATGGAAACTGCATTTGATTAAGAATTTAATCATGTATAGTGGAATTTAATTAGGTAAAAGACTTAATTAAATTAAGTCACTTTCACTACAAAAAATTCCACAAGTTAAGAAAGTTAAACCATTGCATTTCAACCTTTAGTAAGTAACCAAGACTCCAACTGCCTAGACTACACTGACTACGGTAAATTAGAAATTTGAAATAATGTACAAACCATTATTTTTTATTGCAAGTTGCAGTTTCTTTTATCAATAGCAATATATATTTGCAGTAGTAGTAAAAATGCATACCACTCGTTTCTTCTTGCTTTGCTCGCGGTTCTTCTATATGAAGTTCAAACACACACCTCTGTGCAAACTCTCACAGTGTTATTGAACTTGTGATTGGTGAGTAGTTTTCACTCTACACTCTATGGATGTTTTATTATTTTTGCTTTATATTTATGTTATGAAGTTTGAGTATTTGATTGACTATATGACTTATTATGTGCTGCTATATGTATTAAATGTAAACCATATTATATATATATATATATATATTAAAAATATTATTTAATATCTAACGTGTCGAAACATGACATTTTTTAGAATTTACGTGTTGGAGTGTTTGTCTCGTGTCCCATGTCGGTGTCGGTGCATCATTGTCCACAAACATAATCTTATTAACGGGACATATTTTACATACACTAAAATTCTTTAGGGGATGTTTGGTAGAGGAGATATTTTTTTACTAGGTAAATGCAATTACCCAGAAATACGGTAGGAAAGTGAGTTTGGTAGGAAAGTTCAAAAAAAGTTGTTTGGTTGGTCAAATTTTTACTAGAAAAATTGGGTTAAATTTTCTGAATCTTTGTTTGGTTGAGGTAAAACAATGATGGAGAAATGGGTTGAAATGACAAAAATAACCGTTACACTTACAATTTTGAATGTGAAGAACGTTTATGAAAACACAATTGTGTGTGTGCGTGTTGACATTTGTTGTCCGAACGTTTTCACATCTGCACATACCTGTCTCTTCCTCCCTGCCTCTCCTTTCTCCAGTTGCCAAGCATCACTTATGCACGGTGATCCTGTGGTCTCTTTCTCTCAGGCAACAGGCACAAAGAATCTTGGACTTTAGGGCAGCCTAGTGCATTGGAGCGGTGTTATGGTCTTTTAATGTGATTATTGTTATGTTTGCATCTGCCTATGGTTTTGCTTTTTTGATGTTAATAATAATTATGATTATGATTATGCCTCTTGAATTGTGGTTCCAATAATGTTATTTTTTTCTGAAATTGAATTGTAGGCATAAGCCTTACAACATCCAACCATCCAAATATTGAAGCTTCCAGTTGTTGGCTTGGTATACCTGCAAGTTCTGCGGAGGTAGATTCCAAGGCGAAGGAGACACGTTAAAGTTTCTTTCATGTTTGAACAGGCCACAATTGGCAGCACTTCCTGCATCTGCTCAAGAAAAGACGTGTGCTCTCCTTGAAACATTATTCCAGGGCTTTCACAATGACTTGAGTATAACATTCTATTTTATGCTCCTCCTCTTGGTATTGTGCACGATCCACATGTAGCCTGTGGCTTTGCGTATTCAACTTTTGGCCATGTCTTCTGCAACCCACAACTTTGGTAAAGCTGGCTTGGTACAGAAGACGGTAATTTTGTCACAAAATAAGGTAACTTTTAGCCACTTAACCGGTTTTACACAAATACCACATTGCAAATGAAAAAGTTGAACAGTGTTTTGTTTACTTTTTTCCATGCGAACTTCGAAGGTTGGGGAAAATGGTTGACCGGGTAAATTTTCATATCTCCTCTACTAAACAAAGACAACCTATAATACAAAACTCAGATAGATGGGGAAGTAAACCAAAAACCTGAACAAAACAATACCTTAATGAATCATATTAGCATATTATAATTGAGTTTGGGCACATTTTTCAAGTAAATGCACTATGTTTTACTAACTGTACCATAATTGCACACTAATTCGCAAACTTATAAAAATAACATTTTTGGTCCTACAATGACTTGTTTAGGGTATATTGAACTTTCACACACTTATCATATAATTTTCCCATTTTTGGGTTCTACGGATAAATTTCACATCAGTATTTTTCCCCGGCAAAAATTACTATTCACATTTTTTCTTAAAAAATGTCTAAATGCTCTAAATCACATTCTTATTACCAAAATAATCCTCGTTCATATTATCATATTAATTCCATCATCTACTTGTCATTAATACCCATTAAATCACTTAATAGTGTGAGTTTTTGCATAATTGTTGTAGCAGCTAATTACCCGCGATAGCACATTCTCATTTTCACTTGATTTTTGTACTCTTGACTTGTTATTACTTGCCTTGACGGTGTGGGTTGTTATAATAAGGACCCTGATCATGTGTTATTCGAAGTTCTATGGCATGTATTGATTTGAAGAACATTTATTGATGTAATTATTTGATGTTGTAAACAATGATGTACACCTGGACTTATGTATATAGGTTGATGGATGTAAGTTCCCTCTTGTTTGTTTGGCAATAAGTTGTCATTCCATATATGTATTAGGTACCAAATTGGTTAAATAGATAAAGTATGAAAAACAAATAGGTTCTGTCCAATTTTTTGAAAAATCTAGGAGTTTTACTTCCAACTTTAGAAAATCATATCTCACTCAATTTTTTTTTTGTTTGAGGCGTGGGAGGTACCAAAATAAAGTCTAGGATGTCTATTACCTTGTCCTAAAATATAGGGTAGTGGTACATTGTAAATTGTCCCCAACATTCGAATAGGTAGAGATTGTTCAAAATGCAATTTTTGACAACTTCTAGCCCAAAACTTTGAAATTTAATATCTCCTTTGTTTCTTATCAAAACAAGGCGTATCATATGTCAAATTAAAGCTTAGGATGTATAGTTTATTGTATAGAAATTTGAGGATATATTGGGTAAGGGGACATGCGTATGTTTTGTATTTTGTCCGCTGCCCTGTGTTCACTACAAACTGATTGTACTTTTAACTCATGACGGGCATATCTGGAGTTATACAACTCCTATGGAGGCGTGTAATACGCCTTTGTAAATCTGGAGAAGTCTAGAATAACATATTAAAAGATGCGAATTTATGGACACGTAGTTCATCCCCAGCTTAAGAAACAATAAAGGTAGTCAGTGTAGGAATTAACAAAAATGCGAATTGGGCCTTGTTGGTTTATGGGAACCACTTGGAAATCATTAAAGTGTTGTATGATATATAGAAGCTAAGATTTATTATTCCGCAATAGTGAATGAGTTACATTACAGAATTGAATTATGTTAAATACGGAATTGATTTTAATGAAAATGCTTGTTTAACGAAAGGAAAAAGCTTGACCATATTTTTAATTCAACTGTTGTAATTGTAACTGCGCTTAATATCATATATAATGTTAACATGACTGGATGCATACAGGGTGAAGCTTGTGTGGTGGAGTTTTGATGTCTTATAATTTTTTATTATCATTTAAAAATCAAGTAACACCTTTTTTTAACTTTAACTTCATCATTGTTTAAGTAATTAGTAATGTAAAATGCTAATTAAGAGTTGACTTTGACCTACTGCATCAAACATCAATCTGATAAAATTGAGTCTTATTCTCAAGAATCAAGCTCTATAAGATGAAAAATTATCTACTAGTCCCAAAACTCAGAACATGTTTTCCAAAACAGTGCAATGGCTACAATATAAGGTTTAGTTGTATCTTGAGATGAACATATTCCAATCTAACTCAAATTTGTCCTTTAATATACACAATATCACAGATAACTCTTCTCTGAAAGGCAAACACTCAATAGCAGCAAGAAAATAGAAACATGCACAAGTGTCATTAGTAATCAAATGATTTGGAAGAACACTAGATCAACATGCTTTTCCACAGTCTTAGCATTCTACCCCACATTGTTTGAGAACAGGACCAGTTTGCTTGGGCAAGAAAGGATCAATCCGGACCCAAATCAATGAGAAAATTGATGCTAGAAGGATTGACCATAAGACTACAATGGTAGGAGTCCTGTTTTGCTTTCCCATGAGACCTTTGAGGAAAGGATATAAGTGAACAATGACCCAGAAGGCAAAGAACAGCTTCCCAAATAAAGGTCCCCATGAGCCAGATCCATTGTTAATGGCATCAGAGACTCCAGCCACAACTCCCACAATATTCAAGATTATAAGAGTGGTTGGTGGGATCAGAAGAGTAGTCCACTTGAAGAGATAGAGCTCTCCAAATTCAGCATCATCTGCTGCTTTTGCTGTGACAGTAAAATTAGTGTCTACTCCGGCAAGAACTTTAAGGAGACCTTGAAATACAGCAAAAAGATGTGCAGAAACACCTCCAATAACCCAAAATTGCTCATTGCGCCACCAGTCTTCAATGGTAACTCCACTCCATCGAAGCTCAAGCACACCAGTTAAAATGATGGAGATAAATAGAGCCATAAACCAAACACTAGCAAGGTTGGTAAGCTGCACAGAAATAAAAACAAACTTACATTCATAATACACAAATCTAATAATAGCAATGTAGCATTATAGTTTTCCCTTCCCTTTTCTTCTTTTAGCAATTCTGTAATTCAAAGGTGAAAGAAAATGATTGATCTTAGTAATCACAAGAAAATTATAGCTGAGTACTTACTGTGGGGATAATGAACTTTCCAGTGAGGAGACATACTGCAGGAATTGTGCAGTATGCAAGCAGAGGGATGGAAGTGAATGGATAAACAATGGTATTAGTATATGCAAGCCTTTCTAGGTACTTCAGCTTTCCTCCATAGCCATACCACAATGGACAATGGCGACTAAGGAAAATCTCAACAGAACCAAGAGCCCACCTCAGAACTTGGTGCAACCTATCTGATAGATTTATTGGAGCAGATCCCTTGAAAGCTGGTCTCTTTGGCATGCAATATACTGATTTCCATCCTCTACAGTGCATCTTAAATCCAGTCAAAATATCTTCTGTGACTGACCCATATATCCACCCAATCTGTAATGCAAAAAAAATTTGTAAAAAGAACTTCATAGATATAGTAATCATGGATAAACTAATGTCTAATCAGTAATCATAATCAAGTGTATTTTTTAATTTGATGTTTAAAGCATCAAGAAAAATAAAAATGTTTCTTCAATGTTTTGACTTTTGAGGTTAATAATGGCTTTACCTCTTTGCCCCATTCAGTCTTCTCTTCATAGCCACAACTTATAACATGAATAGCCTCCTTGACCAATGATTGGGTATTTGTGCTTTCAGGAAGTCCTCCATTTTCCATCAAAGTGGAAGCAATAAAAACTGGTGACTGCCCAAATCGCTTCTCAAAACTTTTCTGGGACATGAGGGATGATTTCTCTAGCTCCTCATAACCTTCAAGCCCTTCTTCAATCTCTTCAAGATCAAACATGGTCCCAGACCCTTTTCTAACATAATCTTTTCCCATCATTTTCTTCTTCTTCTTGTATAATCCACTAAAGAGACCTCTTCCTGATTTCTTTTTTGATTTTGACTTCCTTGAACCACCACAACAAAAGCAACACCATGAAGGCCAGCAATCACATGTCATCTTTGGTCTTTTCTCAGATACTGGTGGATCATAGCCATATAATGCCTGCCTGTTGAACACAGTTCCAGTACCAACATATACTGGACCTTGAATACCATCAAGCCCTTTCATATTGATCTATGATCAAAGTAACATTGAAGGTAAAGGGTTAAATATCATTTAGTGAAATGTAATCTGCACACATATTTGTTAAGCTAGAGTTTAGAAGAATGGCACTTACATCAAAGAATACAGTGTTGCGATTAGCATATCTATCATGGCGATCAATACCATCAAATCTTTGTGGAAATTGGACATAGCAGAGCTTCTTGCCAAGCTGGGGGTCCATTAAAAAGCACATTGCCTCTCTTATTGCCTTGCTGTTATTGATGTAGTGATCACAATCCAGATTCAACATGAATGGTGCATTTGTAAGCACAGCAGAAACTCGAACCTTTTGAGGATAACATAAACAAAAGAGTTTATAAACATGTTTTCTGGTCCTGCAGGAATAAAACAATACAACATCAAGTTTATATGCTTACCAAAGCATTCATGGCACCAGCTTTCTTGTGGTGTGGATAGCCAGGACGTTTTTCACGTGAAATATATACAAGTCGTGGCAATTCCTTGCCTTCTACATCTAGTGCACCAGCACTTCCTAAATATACCTGCCAAGGCAAGTCCATGAGCCATGTCAGTTGAGACCAGTTATTACTCTTCACTTTTGTTGAGACTAACTTGATTTTAGAACAACAAAATGTAGTTTATAGATTATCAACATCATCCTGACAAATTGAAGAACAATTGTAACAAAAGGACACCACATTTTCCTTTCCCCTATTCCCTTAGAACAAAGCGGGAGGGTGCCTAATTCAATGGCTATTCACATTTCCATAAATGCAAGGTGTTTCTATTCTGTTTTGTTTGTTTCCTTAATTATAAGTTAATGTTAAGATACAATAGCCAAACCTGAATCATTCCTGGATGATCACGAGTGTTGTTACCAGGCCATGGAGTTCCATCCTGCATCACCCACCCCTCCTCTGGTTTCTTCAGTGCCTTTGCCACCAAAGCATTAATTTTAACTTTAAATTCCTCATATTCTCTCTGCAATGAAGCAAATACACAAGAATTACCATATGTCAGAATAGATATTGAGACAAGAAAAACAAAAAACATAAAGATCATCTTTCTTGTCCTATCTAATGTATCACACCTTCATAGCCCTTCGTTCCTTCACAAATGTAGGATGAACCTTATCCTTCAAGTAATCAATCTTCTGAGAAAAATAGAACTCAGGAGCCCTTGGTTCTATATTGAACTTTTTGCAAAAAGGAACCCATCTTCTTGCAAATTCAGCAGTTTCTGCCAATGAATCAAACAAAAGCATAGATGCACCATCATCTGATACATAGCAGCATACCTTCTCAACAGGATAGTCAACAGCAAGGATTGACAGAACAGTGTTTGCTGTTATAATAGGTGGTTCCTTCAAAGGGTCCACAGTACTCACAAACAAATCAACTGGGGCTAGTTGGTTTGGCTCCCCTTCACGCTCAAACCTTATGGACAAACGGTCCAAGTAAGTTTCACGTGTGATGGGTAACCACTTGGGGAACTGGTCAAGTATCCATGACAATGCAAACCATATCTCACATATCACTGAGATAAGCCACAAGGGATATGCATCATATGCTGGAGTTAAGATACGGAAACGGAAGAAGAAAGCTAGGATAACAAGCCTCATCACAATTACAATGCGATATGGATTGATTAGGCTTGAAGATATTGGGACCTTGCGCCACAATGGTTGCCTAGCTTCAGCCAAACTGTCATGTGACATAAGAAAATTAGTGCCAGTTAAAAGTATAAACACTTTGTGCTTTGTGGTAGAATTCAATTTTATGCAGGTTCCCTCCTCAACAATTCAATAAACATCAAAATTTGTGGAGTTGCATATTATAAGTTGTGTGAGTGTGACTCTAAGAGGACATGTGATTATGATTGCTCATTTCTTTTGGTGGTGAGATCTTTCATTTAACAATTAGTAACATTTATTTTTTATACTTATGTAATGTTTTGAATTTTCTGCTCAGATGTTAAACAATATATGGTAGAAATGTTTTGACCACAAATGAACAAATTTTGCCAGTAATAAAGGCAAATTGTCCCTTTACAATATACCTTCTAAATTGATATTGATTTTAGGGTCAAAATTTGACAGCATTCAGATTAGTATTCCTTTAAAATTGGGGTGAAAATTTTAAGAACAAGCTTTTTAAACAAATATTTGTAGATCATCTTGAATTTGATAGCATTCGTGGCGAAAATGTAATCTCATATACAGACTATGACTTTCTCAATCCATAGGAAAGAGCTATAGAAGAGATCACTTACAGGTAGTCATCATCTTCACCTTGGTCTTCTTTTCCATCCTCTTTGTTTAATAGACCTCTCTTTTCTTGTCTGACTTTCCATTTCTCTACTCTTTCTTGCCATTCTGCATTACTGTAGAATTCTTTCTCCCCTTCGAAATCCTTGCCAGCAACTATAGAACAGTAAACCAACATATAAACAACAAAATATATCACATAAGGAAAAATCATGATCATGGATAATTAGCAATTTGCCTAAGCAATTGTCTTTCAAAAATTAAACAAACAAGTTGCTTACCACTTCCTGCTGCAGAGAAAACTTGACCATTGGGATGCAATTTCTGTTGATTTAAGTCCCCATTTTCCTGTAAAAACACAACGGACATAGTCTCTTTCATTAATGATATCCAATTAATTGGTATAGCCACAATTATAATTGTCTTATTCATTTTAGTGAAACCCCATTTGAGGAAAAACATAAAAGATTAACAATTTCTGTATTGCATGAATTTCTTTGAAGCTTTGGCATGATTCTGCTGTCATATAATTAAAAGAAATTACCACATGATTAACATCATGTTGCTGGTCTAGATCATCATGATGATTCTTAATCTGAAATTCATCATCAAAATCATCTGCATCCAAGTTCTCCTCTTCATCTCCAAGAACTCTAGGACAACCTGCAGGGAAGCCACCATCACCATGTCACTTTAAGTTAGCCAGCCCAAACTTTTCATCAACAAAACTAGTTCTTATAATAACTCGATAGGAGCATAAACTGAAACTTTCTGGAGCTATTATTAAATCGTTAGCGCTGCATTAAAACATTCCTCCTGGAGTAGCTGTTAATACAAATAACATAAACTTTGTTATAGCCATTTCTGTACATTCAATGTACTCTACGGATAGAGGAATGCATAGAGTTGAAGCCAATGATTTTTTTCCGTGTTTTAGAATACGGTTAACCAACATGTTAACTAATTGATTATGATAAATTGGATCGGATTTTGTGGTTTTTTGTTCTGTAGCACCTCAAAGTTTCAGTCAGTGACACACAGAGCAAAGCTAAGCTAGCTAACCTTTCTGACGCTTATAGCGAGTGTTGCATTGAGGGCAGCATTGGTTCCCTTCACTCCTCTCATACTCATAACAAGGTCGACAAACAGGAAATCCACACACATGACAAGCCACAAAAAGATCTCCATCTTCCTTATATCCAACCTCATCAGCACAAACTCTACATGTTTTTGATGAAGATTGATGGGTAGGAGGATTATTATGCTGCAAAACATATACACATAGTAGACATGTATGAGAAACTAGAAGGAAAAAAAAAAAGAGCATGCCATTTGGAAAAGTGCAACATGAAAGGAGAAGAAGGTGAATACCTCATTAGAGTCATTAGAGAAATGAGAATGAGAACCAGTGATCAAGCCAGCCATGGAGTTAGAGGCCATGGCAAGGCAAAGGTTACAGAGCAGATGGGGAAGAGTAAAGGAGAAGAGGGTTTTATAACAAATGATGGGTTGAGAGAGTAAAACATCAAAGTCATGGTTGTGGATGTAAGAGTGTGCACCAAACTGTGAGTTGGGAGGTCGTTGGTTTGAGTCTAAGAAACGTTAAGGAGGGAGAGATAGGTGTGAAGGGCTTTTCTTTTATTGGCTTGCTTGGACTCAAAGCAGGTGTCTTTTTTTTGTTCATAAAACATGATCAATAAGATACATAATTTTGATATTTCATACAAGCTGGTTATAATGTCACGTCCCCACCTTTATCAGTTCATAATACCAAACACAAAAATGGAAGACCTGCAATGGAGGTGTCTTTTCTAGGTTCTTAATTCACCCATCAATATAATACACATTGCACACTAGGGAGTTGTAATGTCACATCTCCACATATATCACCTGAACCAAATGGAAAATGCTATTTATAGGAGGAAGGGGAAGAGTAGTGCAAATATTTACATGCAAGATCTGCAAAGTTCCACAATGGAACATACAAATAACGAGCATGTTTTGGAATTTGAATCAAATATTTTAATTGTTTAGTTAACTTATGAGTCAGTTTTGGTTTGTATTACAGGAAAGGTTATATTTACAAACTTTTTTTTTTACAAACTTACAAATTACATCGGTCATACTTCACTGATGAGTGTCTTACCGATCAGACATAATGTAATTTGTAAGAGTTTGTAAACAAAAAATTTGTAAATATAAATTTTCCCTTCTATTATATAGACTTTATTAGTTTGGTCTTTTTATTTTTATTGAAAATATGTGATTTTTGTTGTGCAAGTTTTAGACTCTGAAATATGGCCCAAATCGTAGGCTACAAAGAACCTGTGACGAGTGGAGTAGACAGAACATAACTCGTTTTCTTCCATTTTCAAATATGGGCTTTTCAATTTTTCAAGTCCTTTGAGTCATAACAAAAACTTATCAACTCCTACCCAACTCAAAAAGTTTCTTTCCCAAATGGGCCCAAAGAAAAAGCTCTTGTGATGTGTCAGAAGAGAGAAGAGGTTCAAGGTCACATTCCTCGACTTTTTGACTCTTATAACTTTTTATTAATAATTAATTATCAAATTGACTTTTATTATAAACTATTTCAAAAATTTAATCTTCCCAAAAAACATAACACTTGAATGATTCGGGTAGACTTGGTGGTCAACGGTCAAACAGGGACAGATTAGTGTTATATTTTTTGATGAGGTTAAATTTTCAAAATAGTTTATAATGAAGATCAATTTAATAATTAATTATTAACAAAGGATTATAAGAGTCAAAAAGCCCACATACCTCACTTGAATGGTTGATTATATAACCTTGTCTTTGGGCTGTTTGGAGCTTTTCTTGTGTAAGCAAATCAAGCGTTTTAGTTTTTTACATTCATAAGACACCACAAAAAAAATTTATAATGTAAATGTTTTTTTAATTATTCTAAAATATAATTTATTATGAGTTTGGGGATCAAATTCAATTAACGAAATTTTGGTACAAAACAATGTAATTTTTAAATTTTCAACCACCTGTGCATAAAGTCAATGCTATAGTACACACTTTGCTTATAAGAAATTATTTAATTTTATGTTTCTATTTATTTTTTGACGTTAGGCATACATGATGACTTCCATTCTCAAAGGATTTGGTAATCAAAATACCATCCTTTTGGTTCCTTATGAGGAAAAAAGAAATATGAAATTTCGCTTTGAAAATTCTAATTTCTCCAGAATTTGCCTTGTTATTAAATTTTAACTTTGAAATTTCATATATTAAATTTCTGTCATGATTTTTTTTTTTCCTTTTATTTTGTATCATAGGGAAAAGTATTAAAAGGAGAAAAAGAAAATCAGAAGATGGAATATAAGTTGTATAATAACTGCTGGTAATTTTCAAATTGAATCAGTCTTGGTCCAGTTTTATGAACCTTAACTGTTGAAAAACTACATCTTCTATGAAATAATTTCCCCCCTCTTACAGTATAATGTGTGATTCAATCAATCTAAGTCTTCTTATAAATCTATTACAAATAACTATGATTACTTTGTTTGTCCAAAGAAAGAAAGGAAGACTTCGCAACCAAGGTATGCACAATTCCCTCTTCAGTTAGTATTTAGGACTTCTTGACCAAACATTTTGTTCACCACCAGCTTCAAACTTTCTTCAACTTGTCATACTTTGATCCACAGTAACAAAAACATTTGCAGTGACTGCTTCATTTGTTTCAATCACTATTCGATTCTCAGACACATTCCTCAGAGCATGATTTGGGAAGGTGCTTCCTGTGGAGCTTAATGAGTACTGAACATTTTTTATAAGGTTAGGGAAAAGCAGAATGTTGTTAAAATCAACATTCCATGATGTTCCATTCCCTTGCATGGACATTTTTGCAACTGTGGCCTTTGAGTTCATCCCCCTCACAACATTCCTGTCAACAATAACTTGGTCTATTTGATTGAAAGGACTATTTGATTGGTCCAGCTGAACTATTTCAACCCCACTATTTGACCCAGAGAACATGTTATCAACAATGCTGACACCATTTACAACCCCATTCATAGATTTTAGGACAATATTTGCATTACCAAGGAAGAAACTGCTAGAGATATGGAGTTGAACAGGATCTTCTGCAACAATACTGGTGTAATCCATGTAAGAATTCACAATCCTGGTTTGTGTCAAACCGGGTAGTTTCAAATAAATCCCTGTACCTCCAAAGCCAGTGGCCTTATTGTAACAATGTACACCAGAAAAAGTGTTGGCTTGACCAGTAACCATTATTCCTATAGCCGCAGAGAAAACTACAACATCTGTGACAGCATTATCATTACCCTGGAGGTTTATTCCAGTGCCTGAGAAGTTCCTTTCATTTTTATCCCCACCAGCAGTTATATGCTGGCCAAGGAAGGAGTTCCTAATGTAGGTTTCATGGCCACTTTGGACAAAAATTCCATTGGTGGTGAAATGTGTGATGTAACAGTTGTCTATGCTGATTCTAAGTGACTTTATGATTGAAATGCCTCCTCCCCTAAAGTTTGAGTCCAACAAGAGGTCCTTGAGAGTCATGTACTCGTAATTGTAGAATGATGAAGGGGAATTCTTCCCGTTTTCTCCATTGTTCTCATTAGAAGAGGTTGACAAATCAATGATATAACCATCTTCTGGAAAATTATTTGAGGCTCTTATGGTTCCCCCATGTATCTGTTTTTCCATCAAATTACAAACAAAAATCAAACTGAGTTGTCAAAAAGTGCAGTTTGCCTTCACTTTCTGAAACTTTGTGTCACAAGAATTGGTCAAAAAAAAATTAAAATAAAATCCCTTTCCCGTTCAAAAAAGGTGAAAGGATCATCGAAGGAAAGTATTTTTCTAAAATCTCAATAGCATTAGTCATAATTATTTTCTTGGTCTAGTTAGACCAACCGTTTTTCACCATTATAATTAAAATATTCTAAACTCAGACTACCTGTCTCAAAAATTAAACTTGGCCCTGCCATAAAGTCTTACAACATAGTGCCAATTGTCAAATAATCAGGAATATGTAAACTTAGGTAGATACTTTTCATATTGTATATTAACTATTAATTCACAAAGAGTTATATTTGTCAGAGAAAATATTATTCATGAATGAAGTTAGCAACAAGAACAGTTTCTGCAAACATACATACCATTAGGTTCCCCACGCCAGACACTGGCAATTGCAGTGGCTGGCTGATCAAGTAATTTCCACCTTCAAGATTAATCTGGGCACCTCCAAGGTCACTAATGCCCTCCATCAAATACCCTTCACTTGTTCCCTTGACTGCATCTGCTATGGCTGCAAGGAGTGCTTCAGTGCTATCTGAATTTCCTGTTGGATCTGCACCATAAGATGTCACAAGGTATACCTTTGGATTGTTCACACCCTGCATGGCAGAAAAAAATATCAAACGTTTGATATTTTCCCAGAAAAAAAGAAAAAGAAAAAAAGACTAAACCAAAGGCTGTGCATAATTGAATTACCTTAAGTGGTAGAGGAGAAGGAGAAGGGCTAGAAGAGGGTGAGAAGGAAGATGGTGGTTCTGAAGCAATGGAATCATGTCTAGTTAAAGAGACCTTAAATGACTGTAGTTTATGAATTGCCTCATGATACTTGCTACCAGAAATGGTTCTAGGAGGCAAGTTCTTCTCCCCATAAGCACCAATTACAATGAAACAAGCCAACCCCAGAAGCAAGGACAAGATCAAAGATCTTCTTGTCATTGTTGGTGTCTTTGGTGAGAGGTTTGAGGAACACATGTTAGTGTGAACCGGTCGAGGAAAAACATTGTAGTTGTGTGTCCATTTAAATAAGATAGAGGGAAAACGTAATGAGGAAGAGAAAGAGAGGGAATTGGGATACATGGAAAGAAGTAGGGGTAACTAAGATTTGATAAGAAAATGTGTAGGGACATTTTCATATTTGATCATACACATAACACCCCAAGCCCCATCATATATATGGACTATGATATTAGTGAAGGTTGATCTCTAACCTTTTTTTTTTTTTCACTTGAAATTTTTTCTTTTTCTCTAACCTGATTGAAAAGTAAGCAGTTACCAACTTCTTACTTTTGGGACCTTTTACAAGTTTGACATTGTGTGAAAGGTATTTTGTGTTAGGAAGAAAGCACATCTCTAGTAATCTTGAATTATATCGTGGAATCTTAGGGTAGAGGGGTCCACCATATAAAGTTTGTACTCTTATGCCCCGGGGTAATGAGCTTGGCTGATTCATCATGGTAAATCAGAACCAAAAAATTAAAAGTTTTTGCCTTGTTAGGTACTTAGGTTGTTGCTTAAGAGAGAAATTTTCATTCTTTTTAAGGCTTAGGACCAATCTCAACTAGTGTAGGGTAAAGGTGATGTTGACAAAATTAGAACCTGGCAACCACAATGGGACTTTCTAATGGAAACCCTAGCTAGTCTCCTATTGGGACCTAAGGAGAGGAAGATTTAAAAAATAAAATAAAATAAAAATTGAAAGAGAGACATTTATAGATATCGAACTTGGTTATTCTCCTTACATGTCCAAAATAATACTAGTTTTGAATTATCGTCAACAAACTCATTTATGTTGGACTTAAATGCCCACTTTAAAGAATAATAATGGAAAAAGTGATAGCATTGATGATAATTTTTTCAAAAAAAAAAGTTATTATATATATGCATGCTTATGTTTATCAAAATTTAAACTATCAACCTTTTTAATTAAGTAGTAGTTACTAATACTCACCAATTACTTTATTTTATGAAGATGACGCTACACTTTAAATAGCAAATCTTAATCTGTTGGGTTTCTTATCTTGTGTTAAATGCATGTTTGTATTTTTCACACAAACCTTTATCCTTTTTCCCTCTTTAGAAAGAAAGAATAAACAAACAATTGGTCTGGAGCACATTAGCAAAACGCAGCCATGGCGGTTAATTAGAATTTACTTTAGGATATAATTAATTAAAGGGATAAGTTATTTTACCTATCTTTTTTCTGCCTACTTTTGCCTACTTCTCTTTAATACTGTTAGATCATAATCTTAATAAGAGAAAGATTCGATAAAGATAGTTGAGATTTAGATTTGACGGGGTTAAACAGTGATAGACAAAAATAAACAAAAAAAGAAGTAGATAGAATAACTTGTCCTTAATCAAATGGTGCTCAAATTTTTATACATGCAATGCATAGCTTCGTGATCTGAAGGAAAATGTATCGTAAACGAGGAAACAAGATGTGCTTAATCTGAGTTTATAGGTGAAATGACCAAGAGAAATTAAGCATGAAAAGATTGTTTTCCTTAAATTTAGAGATCATGCTTTGAGCACCTTACAATTTAATTTGAGGCAACAAGTGATATAGGAAGAGACGTTAGACAACTGGTGATCAAGTCTTAAAACGTTGCAAATGTTTCTAATATGTTTACTTTCAAATATACAAGCCGAAGGAAACACCAAACGTTACTTCTACTGTTTCAATTTATAAATCTGTAAAAAAAATATGCATAAAACAATGAAACTCTTGTAAAAATTATCAAGGTTTATTATAATACAATAAAACTATTATATATCGTAAAAATTATCTTTAATTTTTATATTTAAAAAAACAAACTTATAAAAAATATACATATCATTAAAAAAAAAATCTTCCCAATGAGACATTGGTTTTGAAATTGTCATATTGAGACATATACAATGAAACAAGGCAGTGTTAAGAAAATATTTAAATATGAGTTAAGTTGCATTTTATCACCCTAATTTATTAGCTTTATTACACTTTTACCCTGATTTATATTGTTGAACGCATTACACCTTAATTTATAATTATTTAATGTGATATTTCCCATTTAATTTATTGAAAATCAAAACTATTTAATAGTAAATTATTATAAATAGACAGAAATACTCATCTCATTTTTATTTTTATTTTTCATTTCTAACGCATTTCTGGTTTTATTCAGTCTCACCCATGGAAACACTTTTGTAGTTGTTGAGTTCTCTATTATTAACATAGCCTTTTGGCCAACACCTATTTTTCCTCTGTTTACACTCTTAAATAACAAGAGATGAAAGGAATTGTAAAATATTCAGTAGTATTGAATTGATACAAGAGGTACAATATATAGATACACTAATGGGCTTAGCCTAGACCTAACTCAAATCCTATTGAAATAAGAAATTAGATATTTACATATATACAAAAGATTTTTTTTCTAACACTCCCCCTCAAGCTGGAGCGTATGGATCATAAGCTAATTGATCATTAGAGGATACAAAAGTAGTTCTAAATTCACTAGCAAGGACCTTTTCTCGAACAAAGTAACAATCTATTTTGATATGCTTGGTTCTTTCATAAAACACTGGATTAGATGAAATGTGCAGCGCTGCTTGGTTATTACAAATGAGAGTTGCTTGTCCAGTGTCTCCAAACTTGAGCTCACTAAAAAGTTGCTTAAGCCAAATGAGCTCGCAAGTAGTAGTAGCCATAGAGTGGTATTCTGCTTCAGCACTTGATCTAGCAACTACATTTTGTTTCTTACTTTTCTAGGAAATCAATTTGCCTCCAACGAAGATACAATATCCAAAAATAGATCTCCTATTAGTAGGACAACCGGCCCAATCAGCATCAGAGTATCCAACAACTTTAACATGACCTTTATCTTCATATTCAAGGCATTTTCCTGCAGATGTCTTAATATACTTAAGAATGTGAATGACGGCATTCCAATGTTCTTGACATGGACAATTAAGAAATTGACTTACCACACTGCAAATGAAATGTCAGGCCGAGTGACTGTGAGGTAGTTCAATTTTCCAACCAATCTTCTACACTTCTCAGGATCTGAAAAGGGTTCCCCCTGATGTAACGCCCGGCCGCTTCAAGAATAATGACTATCCCCACAAACTAAGATGAGACTTTTCAATGTGCTTTTTCCTCACTCGCACACTTCCCGGGAAAACTTCCCAGGAGGTCACACATCCCAGAATTGCTCCAAGTCAAGCACGCTTAACTATGAAGTTCTTCCGTTCTGGGCTACCGAAAAGTAGATGCATCTTGTTAGTATAAATAGTATCAATTAATTCTTATAAGTTATCCCCAAACTGTGCAGTCTCTTACCTGCACAGTCTTTGGAATACCTCTCTTTCGGGGGTCGATTCGATTCATTCGTTCATGTAACCCCTCGCTGGAAGCCTGTCAGGAGCCGCTCCTTGTCCGTGCCTCTTTGCATCGACGATCACTCCCCACCCTCGTCAGTGCTCGGGATGTTACATACCCACCAGCTTCCGTTTAGTTCGTCCTCGAACCACACCGTACTGGAAGAGAGGCCCTGCTCTGATACCACTTGTAATGCCTGGCAACTTGCAAGGATCAACGACTGTCCCCACACACGAACATGAGACTTTTCAGCGTGCTTTGTCCTCACTCGCACACTTCCCGAGAAAACTTCCCATGAGGTCACCCATCCCAGAATTGCCCCAAGTCAAGCACGCTTAACTATGGAGTTCTTCCGTTCCGGGCTACCAAAAAGTATATGCATCTTGTTAGTATAGGTAGTACCAATTAATTCTTATAAGCTATTCTCAACTGTACCGTCCCATACCAGCACAGTCTCTAGAATCCCCCTCTTTCAGGTGTTGATTCGATTCATTCATGTACCCCCGTCGTTGGAAGCCTGCCAGGAGCCGCTCCTTGTCCATGCCCTTTCGCACCGGCGATCACTCCTCGCCCTCGCCAATGCCTGGGATGTTACATGCCCACCAACTTCCGCCTGATTCGTCCTCGAACCACACCGTACTGGAAGAGAGGCTCTGCTCTGATACAACTTGTAATGCCCGGTCACTTCAAGAATAATAACTATCCCCACAAACTAACACGAGACTTTTCAATGTGATTTTTCCTCACTCGCACACTTCCTGAGAAAACTTCCCAGGAGGTCACACATCCCAGAATTGCTCCAAGTCAAGCACGCTTAACTATGGAGTTCTTCCGTTCCAGGCTACCGAAAAGTAGATGCATCTTGTTAGTATAGGTAATACCAATTAATTTTTATATGTTATCCCCAAACTATGCAGTATCATACCTGCACAGTCTTTGGAATCCCTTTCTTTCGGGGATCGATTCGATTCATTCGTTCATGTAACCCCCCCGCTGGAAGCCTGTCAGGAGTCGCTCCTTGTTCGTGCCTCTTTGCACCGGCGATCACTCCCCGCCCTCGTCAGTGCTCGGGATGTTACACTTGATTTGGTAGAAGCTTGACACTTGGATCCATAGGAGTATCAACAGACTTAGAATTTAACAACTTCAAGAATATCCAGAGCATATTTCCTTTGAGATATCACAACTCCATCTTTAGATTGGGCCACCTTAATTCCCAAGAAATATCGAAGTCTCCCAAGATCCTTGGTCTAAAAATGATGACATAAATGTTGTTTCAACTGAGTTATCCCATGATTATCACTACCTGTAATGACAATATCATCCACATATACCACCAAGTAGATAGATCCAGAAGCTAAATGATGATAAAAGAGAGAATGGTCAGCTTCACTCCAAGTCATACCAAATTGTTGAACAACACTGCTAAATTTGTCAAACCAAACTCTTGGAGATTGCTTGAGACCATATAGAGACTTGCAAAGACGACAAACAAGACCTGACTCCCCCTAAGCAACAAATCTAGGAGTTTGCTCTATATAAACTTCCTCTACAAGATCACCACGAAGAAAATCATTC